TAAAAGGTCTGGCAACTCATCTCCAAATGACAGCACATGGCTGGAGCTATGTCCAGGATGTTCCCCCTAGATGGGGGTTGTAGTCTTCAGGTCTCCCTCCACCCACATCCTCCCATGTTCCAAGGTGGAGGTCAACATCTAGCTGTTTCTGTTTGACCACAGAGTGTATGCAGCGGCTCTCCTTGAAGAGCTGTCTCCATCAAAAGCGGGAAATGAAAGGCGACAACAAAGGGATGTTGGCTGAGCTCAGCCTTTGAGGTTGCAGTCCTAACAAGACGCAGCCACCAGGCACATCCTGGTGTGTCTGGCATGTGCCTGCCCTGGCTGCAGGGGCCCGCCACTCATTCCTTCCTGAGTGGCGCCACCTCAGCAGTCCATAACCTCACCTGGGCCCCAGGCCCCCAATGTTAGGTTATAGGTCTCAGACAGTTTTGTTTGGTCTCCTCCCTGCCTGGTTCAGAGGGGGGTCTCCCAGGAGCTTCTCTGGGTAGGCCCAGAGGTTGTCTCCCTCCTATAGTCACTGCCCAGGGTCCTGGTGGAAAAGTGGTTAGTTTGGTGGGAAGGCCACAGGAGGAAAAGCAAGGATGAGCTCCATTAGAACCAGGATTCAGTTGGTGTGAGTAAGTAGCTTATACCTGTAATCTTGGGTTCTCAGGAGGCTGAGATCTGAGGATTGTGTTTAGTAGCCAACCCAGACAGTAAAGTCCATTAAACTCTCATCTCCACCAAAATACTGCAGGTGGAACTGTGGCTAAAGGGTAGAGTGTCAACCTTGAGGGCTGGGAAGGTGGCTCAGCGGTAGAGCGCTTGCCTTGCGTGCATGAGGCCCTGGGTTCGATTCCTCAGCACCACATAAGCAAAAAGAAAAAAGCCGGAAGTGGTGCTGTGGCTCAAGTGGTAGAGCACTAGCCTTGAGCTGAAGAGCTGAGGAACAGTGCCCAGGCCCAGAGTTCAGGCCCCACGACTGGACCCCCCCCCCCAAAAAAAAAAAGAGTGTCAATCTTGAGTGAAAAAGCTAAGGGAGAGTGTCGAGGTCCTGAGTTCAAGCCTCAGGACTGGCACACACACACACAGAACCAGGATTTAGCAGCAGCCTTGGGATTCCTGCCTTTCCATTGGGAGACCCTTTCCTTTGTCCTGCCCACTTAAAGAACAAAAGGCCAAAGCAGCTATGGCAGCCTAAGAGGGTGGACATCAGTATGCATGTATTTTTCAGGAGGGACAGGAATTCTGGACACAAGATATGTCATCAGGGGAGAAAGAAACACAGGAGGCATGGAGGAAGCAATTCTTAGTCATTCTCAGCAGACATTTATTGAGTGCTTACTGTGTGCCAAGGAGTAGGCCATGTGCAAGGAACAGCAAAGGAGCAGGGAAGAACCAGGGTCACTGAATTGTCAGTGACACTGTGTGACCCTGGTTAACACTGAGAATGGATTTCCCTCAGGCGCCTCTCTGAGGCCTAGGTTGGGCCCTGGACCCTGAACCCTGAACCTGGCTTGTCTAAATGTTCCTTCTAGCAACCGAAAAAGATAAGAGCCAGGGAAGGCCATTCCTTCTCCATCCAGGTGTCATGGCACACATTTCTTTAAACACAGACATACCCAGACATACTCGGAACAAGTCTTGGACCACACACGTGCACATCCATGCACGTGCGCGCACGTGTACACACACACACACACACACACACACACACACACATACACACACTTAGAAGCCCAGGCAAACAGCTGTCCAAAGTGGTTGTGGAGGTGCTTTGACCTGCCTCCATGGCTTAGAATTGGAGTCATCCCATTCAGTATAAACCTGCCCCATTTAGAGACAATCCAGACACAAAGGTCTTATGGGAACAATATAAAGGAAAAGTGGTCAAGGGAATCACTTCTTAAGGCTTTGCTGAGACAGGAATTCTGAGAGGAGCAGGGTCAGCAGGGACACATCTCACTGTCCACTTGGCTGCAAGTCCATCCTGGTCAGGGCCACCTTAAGTAGGTGTCCTGTCATCTGGGTGGGGATGCCTTGTTCCCTGTGCTGTCTACCCTCTTCCAGAGCCATCAAATAATACCCCCATGGTTAAGTGCCTGCTAACTGCCAGATACACTACTGTACAGGCGCTTTACTTACACACCCCTGCAGTCATTCTTGGTGAGTACCATTGACTCTGTGTTACACATGAGGAAACTGAGGCTCAAGACTTGCCTAAGTGCACCAGAGAGAATGTGGTCAGGCCTGGTGACCTTTACTCCTCAGTGTCTCCTCAGCATGGGGAGATGGGCCACTATCTGAGGAGGACCGAGGTCAGGGATGGCCAGTGTCCCTTATCCATTCTTAGATCTGCCCAGAAGGGTGACTAACTTCAGAGACCAAGGGACACAGGCAGTGGCTCCATGTTGGCAAGGAGATGCCAGAGTGGTGACAGGTGACAGGCCAACCTCATGAAGCATGCAGAGCCTCCTTGACCCCTAGGAAGCTTCTTAAATGCCCCCACCCCCACCCCGCTCCCAAATCAGGCTCCAGGTGTCAGGGTATGGGGAAAATCTCATAGAGCCTACCTGTTCATCCCGACACCCCACCCTCAAGGAAATACTGCGGCCTGCAATCCCTCTGATTCAGAGGCCCTGTGCTACTACCCTCATAAACCGTGTGTTTGGGGAAATTGAGCCCCTGGTAATTAGCACAGATAAGGCACCTCGCTGTCCCAAAAGCCCCTTAAGAATCTGTCATTGAGTCCTTCACAGGAAAGGTGACTGCTACTGGAATGGCCCCTGGAGCCAGGTTCTGTGAAGGCAGAATAGAACTCCTTACAGGAACTCTTTACCACAGGCTCCCTATAGCTTGTCCCTGCCCCTCACCATCTACCATCTGCTCAGGTTCAGACAAACAAGTGCATCAAAGCTCCACTTAGCAGGGCTTGGTGGAAAAGCTAAGGGCACCCGAAAAGCTAAGGCAGGAGGATTCAGCATTTGAAGCTAGAGATATAGTTAGACCCCGACTCCTGGGAAGCACTCCCAACTCTATTTAGCTGAAAGTACTTGCGCTAAGGTCTAGGACAGTCCTTACTGTTGTGATCCTAATTCCAGATCTCTCTGTTTCCAGTGCCCTTGGGTTCTAGTGCAGTGTGATGCCCTTAGATTGCCTAGGCCATAGTAAGACTATGTAAAGTTCTTTTGACTATGTCCATACTGGGCACAGGAGGGGAAGAGTGGAGTAAAGAAGAGTCCCTAAAGGGCCTGTATATTGCCTTTGATCTCTGCCAAGGTAGAACTGACTGTGGGTAAGGGCTGGCAGGAGAAGCTGCAGACAGAGGCCCAGAGTGCTTGGATCCCAGGATCTAGGGAGACTAAAGAGGGGCTCCAACACTGCTCCTGCTCTGAATCCACTTCCTGTTCATTCCCCCATGGGAGCCTGGAGAACAAGGGGGAAGATGGGAGGGCTGTGGCCACTCGGTGCCCTGGCTTGTGATCAGGTCTCCATGTCGGGGCGTGAGAATCTGGAGTGACCAGAGAGTTTCCCCCGCCACCAAGTGATCCATCAACCTCCAGGGCTCAAATGACTCCACTGGGTGAATAGAATGTATGCTACTCCAGAGGAAGCACTGCGTGTAAAAAAATAGAGACTACTACTCAGGAGGCTGAGATCTGAGGATCGCGGTTCAAAGCCAGCCCGGGCAGGAAAGACTGTGAGACTCCTATCTCCAATAAACCACCAGAAAACCGGAAGTGGCGCTGTAGCTCAAGTGGTAGAGTGCTCGCCTTGAGCTGAAGAGCTGAGGGACAGCACCGAGGCCGAGTTCAAGCCCCACAACCGACAAAAAAAAAAAAAAAAATAGAGACTATATCTCAGCTTGCTCCTTTTTGTCCAGCTGTTGCTGCCCTACTAGAGGCTGGGGCACCCTGGGCTGCAGCAGGGAATGAGATGTTCTGGTCTAAAGGGAAATTAGCTTCTCTGATGACTTAAGACCTGCATTGGAGTCCAGGTTCTAACCTCAGGCAAGTTACTTCGCCTCTCTTGGCCTTAATTTTTCCAAGTGTCAAAGGATGACAATGTCTATTTCATCTAGACTGTTAACACAATTGCATGATCACAAGAAACTATGTAACCCTTCTATTCTATAAAAGTAAGGGTAGAATGGCCCTTGACTAGGCTTATTTTACTGGCTTACGCCTCTGCCTCCTACATCACTGTCCATGGATTGCTTTCTGCCCTCGTTTCTTTCTTTCCTTTTTTCCTTTTTTGTTGGTCATGGGGCTTGAACTCAGGGCCTGGGCATTGTCCTTGAGCTTTTGTGTTCAAGGCTAGTGCTCTACCACTTTGAGCCACAGCACCACTTCTGGTTTTCTGTTGCTTAATTGAAGATAAAGAGTCTCACGGACTTTCCTGCCTGGGCTGGCTTGGAACAATCAGCCTCAGATCTCAGCTAGGATTTCAGTCATGAGCCACCAGTGCCCAGCTTCTGCTCTCATTTTCTAGTTTCTCAATGCCAGCATCTTCCCTCAAAGTGCCACAACTCAGGAATGCTGGGACTGGACACTACTAGGGACAGACAGGTTGACTGTTCAACCTCCATGTTCCCAGCTGGAAATGATGCTGCCAGAGGTTCTTCAAACTATCCTGCTCTTCAAACCATGCAGCAAGGCACCAGATCCAAGGCAGAAGCAAGACATGGAGTCTGCCATTGTCACCAAAACCCCAGAAGCCTCCAATGTTGATGCCATCCAGTTACACAGTGGGGAAATGGCTCCAGTGATTATAGCCAGGTCTCAGCAACATTTTTCTCCTTTTCTTGTCTTGGTTTGTTGAGACAGTCATTTGTAGCTGAGGCTAGCATCAAGTTCCCGATCCTTCTGCTCAGCCTCCTGAGTGCTGAAATTATGGGTGCGCACCACCATGCCTGATACCACATCCCTTTCTTGGACAGCCCCAACCCTTGTGAATGTGGGGGAAAGTGCTGAGTGCTTGCTTTAAAGAAATGGGCTTGACTTTAACTCAGCATTTCCTGTGTTTCACTATAAAACTTTTCTAACTAGAATAACTATTAACTCATCACAGACCAGTGTTCTGGGCAGTGTTTGGGAAATGACAATTCCGTGCTTTTGGGGGACCAAACCCAGAGCCTTACTCATGCTAAACACGTATTCTATCACTGAGCTACACCCTTAATTCATTATGTTTGGATTGTGATTTTTTTTTTTGTATGTATGTGCTAGTACTGACAATTGAGTGCTCCATCAACTTGCTTGCTTGTGGCTGGCACTCTACCATTTGAGCTATGTTCCCAGTCCAGCATTTTGCTGGTTACTTGAAAATGGATTCTCATGGGCTTTTCTACCATGGCTGGCTTTGGAGCATGATCTTCTGCATCTGTCTTCCTGAGTAGCTAGGATTACAGGTATGAGCTACTAGTACCCAACTGGGTTGGATTTTTTTTTTAATGTTTGATTAGACTGAAGCCTAGGAGATTCAGTGGTTCATTGTGACTGTGGAGCTTGTCTTCCTCATCTCTGTTAATCCCGTCCACCCCCCACCATATCCTGATGCTGCTCTCTGAGCCTGCAGTTTTCTGGGGTCATCCTGACTTGCACTTAGGAGGAACCCTCAGGGTGTGGAACAGTGACAGGAAATCTGTGTAGATGATGAGAAGGGGTCAGGATTAGTCAGTGTGGCTGGGACAGACAGCTGGGGAGGGAAAGGCCCACACGTCTATGCAGTAAAATTTAAAAAAGAAATCTAAAGTAGGGTGTATTTTTTTCCTGTCCCACTGTTCTTCCTCAGACAGGCCACCCAGGGAGATGGTTATCAGCAAGGTACAGCTTGTGAGGCTAGTCAGTGGCAGAATACCTTACCCTGCCATTTCCTCTGTACCTCGAGTCAGGCATATGCAGCAGTCAACTGATAATGCTAGGAGGGCATCCCTTACCAGGAGGAAAATGGGTTTATTGCTTTATAAAAATAAGTCTGATAAAACTTGAGAAAACAACTACAGACCTAAAAATCAACCCACTCCTCTTGGCACCCCAGGAGGTCTCAGACACATTTCTAGGGATGGTCAAGGTGAGTGGGGTAGTGAGCCAGGCTGGACTGGCCTTTTCCAAGTAAACAGCTCTGAGGCTCTGGTGGAATCTGCCAGCAGGGGGCACTGTGGCCCGACAGCCATGGACAAGCTACTGGCTATGAAAAAAGGCTGCTCAGGTATATCCTAGGAATGCTGCAGACCTAGCTGGCTCTTGGTCTGGTCTGTGGGGATAAGGGCAAACCTTAGAGCCCACTACCATCTCACACACATGTATACACACACACCCTATGGGAACACACACCTCTGTCATTCACCAATCTACTTCCCTTCTTAGGCCTGGACCTCCATGTCTGCTAGCTACAGCCTTACTACTGCCCCACATTAACAGCTATGGGGTGGAGTGGGGGAAAGGCTGACCTAGTGGTGTCCATTTAATTCCCTTCAGGTTGCAGACTGGACCCAGGGTGGCAGTGGAAATGTTCTCCCCTCCAACTCTGAGGGAGGAGATGAGTGATGGATGACCCATCAGCCTTGCCCATGACCCCTGGGGCCTTGTGTATGATCATCCTGGCCTCCATCCCCTCTCCAGGCCACCAATGAGAGAACAGGCCATGGAGAGGCCACAGGGGGCTGCGATTACAAAGGGGTTAGCACCAACAACAGGAAGCGGGGTCTTCCTTCCTCAGGCAGCTGCAGACTGGCCAAGGGAGGAGGTGAGGGGCCAGGCAAGGGGTGCAGACAGTGAAGCCTTTGTCCTCAGGCAGGCGTGGTCAGTGGGCATGCAGCTGAGGGGCAGGTGGTGGGAAGTGGATGTCAGGCCCCTTTACTTTGGCAAGAGGCAGAATCCAGACTCTTGAGAGAGAGCAAGGAAACAAGCCTGCCTGCTGGAGGGTACCCTTAGTTCCTCCTGCAGTCACCATGAGACCCAAGGCCTCAGGGTCCCTTAGAGCAAGGCCAGGGCAGCCCTGCTTCCAGCAGAGGAAATCTCCTGTCATGGGCTCTCTCCCATCCTTCCACCACTGAGGTCTGAGGCAGGTACCAGGGCCCTGGGAAGAAGTGTGGACTCATTCCAACATGGTGAAGGAGATGATCCTGGTGGGGAGGGGGTGGGGTCCTCTAGGGTGGGGAGGAGTATGTCAGTCAGTCACTGAAGCATGGACAAGAGGTCCCAGTTCTGAGGTGGTAGTGCTACACAAAAGCCTCCCGATTGGATGAGCCATTGATCTTCAAGAACAGCTTGTCATCTTCCCTCTTCTGCTGCAGCTGCCTCTCCAGCTGGCGCCGGTAGCAGATCAGGTAGAGGGGCAGGCAGAACCCTAGCATGCTCATGATGAGCAGCCCCACGTTCACCTGGGGAAGGGGAGGAGAGGCCATCACCAGGGGCAGGGGCTGTGGTCACTTCAGGACCCAGCTCAGCATCTTCCCACACGTACCCTTACTTGGGTTTGGGGAAGGAAAGTGGTCACAGCAGAAGGGGAAAAAAATGAAACAGAAAAACTCAACATGTCAGGTACCAGTGGTTCATGCCTATAGTTCTAGCTACTCAGGAAGCTGAAATCTGAGGATCAGGGTTCAAAACCAGCCCATGCAGGAAAGTCAGTAATCTTATTTTCAATTAGCCACCCCCCCCCCCAAAAAAAAAAGTCAGAAATGGACATGAGGCTCAAGTGGTAGAGCACTAGCCTTGAGGGGAAAAAAAAAAAAGCTCAGGGACAGTGCCTAGGATCTGAGTTCAAGCCCTAGGACTGGCCTCAAAAACATAAGAGGGGCCAGGCACTTGTGGCTCATGCCTGTAATCCTAGCTACTCAGGAGGCTGAGATCTGAGGATCAAGGTTCAAAGCCAGCCCGGGCAGGAAAGACCGTGAGACTCTTATCTCCAATAAACCACTCAGAAAACCAGAAGTGGTACTGTGGCTCAAGTGGTAGAGCACTAGCCTTGAGCTGAAGAGCTGAGGGATAGCGCCCAGGCCCAGAGTTCAAGCCCCACAACCGACAAAAAATATATATATAATAAGAGGGCCAGGAATGTGTCTTAGTGGTAGAGTGCTTGCCTAGCATGCATGAAGCCCTCAGTTCAATCCTCGGTACCACATACACAGAAAAAGCAGGAATTGGGGCTATGGCTCAAGTGGTAGAGTGCTAGCTAGCCTTGAGCAAAAGAAGCCCAAGGACAGTGCCCAGGCCCTAAGTTCAAGCCCAGGACTGGCAAACAAAACAAAACAAAAAAACACATAAGAAAAGTAAAGAAAAAAAAGCTCAACAGATCACAGATCCCAAGGCCTGTCACTCCACATTCCAATATCCCAATTTCCTGGTTGCCCACTCAGCAGCTGCCCTCAGGGCCCTGCCTGAGATCAGGACAGTTCATGGTACCTGGTTAAGAATCCTGGCCCTTGGCAGGATTTACAGGAACTCTCTTCTGTTTTTCCCAAATCAGGTACAGAAAGACCATTTTTCTCCTTTTGCCTGGCAACGTTCACAAAGGTGACCTGATTTTGTCCTAACCCAAGTTCCCAAACAGCCTGTCCTTAAGGCTCCCAGCTCCCAGGAAACAGAATGGAGCGATGCCTATGACCACTGCCCGGCCCTTCTTACCCATAGAGGGTCTCCTTCGAGGGGACCCATCATGGCCAGAAACAGGGGCTGCTGTAGGAGAGCAAAGAGTGCGCTGACCAGAGACTGAAGTCCTGTGAGGCTGCCAAACTGGGTAGAGGGGTACCTGTGGGGGCAATCAAGACCTGTCAACAGCCAGTGCCATTCTTGAGCTTCCCACACCCTACCTTAGCCTGGCCCCTGAGTACCAGTACCCAAGGAGGCACCTTTGGTCTGCCTGAGTCAGGAGAACATTGAGAGGGTTGGGTGCTGGCTCTGGGTTACTTTCTTGTTTGGACCACCCCAAGGACCAGACTCTCAGAAGAGATGCTCCCCTACCCCTTGCAACCAGATGTGCCCTGGGCCTATAGGTGTCTGGTGGAGTTAAGTGGAAAGAGTGGTGCCAGCAGGCGTCTGCGGCTTGGGAAACGTGCCCAGGGAGCAGGTCGGAGGCTGGGCCTGGCTCTGCTGTACCCTCCTCCAGAGCAGCATTGTGTAATCACGGAAACTCAGCATCACAGTTCTTGCCCGACTCCCTCACACCCTGCCAAGGCAGCCACAACTTCCTCCATGGAGTGGGGGGGGGAGGGAGAGGCAGGGGATAGGCCGACCTGGAATGACCCCCGTGGGATACTGCTGGAAGAGGGAAGGAGTTCTGGGTTAAATCTTGGTGAACCTCAGGAAGAGAAGGGGCTCCCAGCAAGCAATGAGCTAGTCAAGAGATGGTAAATGGTGTGTTTGGATTCCAGTTTTAGGACCAAGCCCTGAGCCAAAGGAGGGCCAGCTGTGTAGTCTCTTGGAAAAAGTGCAGCTTTCATTTCAACTAAAGCCCAAGATGGTTATGGCTGTAGTGGGGCCTTTGAGGCCTTGGGCAAGGATAGCTTGGTACATTCTGGGGTCAGTTACCCATGTCACTGCCCCTGTTGAGAGCCATTTGAACTTAAACATTTAGCTTTGGGTTGTCCTAATGAGCAGCCAGAGGCAGTCCCAGGACTCAGCTGAGTAACAATCCATGAGGCCTGAGGCACTGACCTGAGTTGAAAGAATGACTTCGTGTTAAATGCCAAGGCTCCTGGGTATCCAACTGTCTGCCCAATGTTCTACCTGCTTCCAGGTGTGGCTGTTTCCTGACACGGCCAGCAGAAACCCTGGGGTACTTACTCTGGTGGTGGAGCAGGCTGGCCCAGCCCCAGGGACTCAATTCCATGTGGCCTACCCTCAGATCATGCCCTTTCCTCATCCAGAAGACCACCCACAGCTTCCAGAACTTACACGGCGGCATACAGGCCCCCAACGGCAGAGTGGATAAATCCTCGCACGATTGTGTGCAGGACAAAGGAGAAGATCTTTGGAAAGGAGAATAGAGCGTGAGCAGCAGACCCCCAGGACAATCCCCTTCTCCCCCACCCCCAGCTATTCCTTGGCATAGAATCAGGAGCAACCTGGAATTGGCTGCCCCCATCTCCCCAGAGCTAACTGTGACATTTTCAGGAACTATGTAGCCAGTTGTTAAACACAGTCATGATTAAAAATTAAATTGTATAAGCTTATAATTAAATAGATTATGTTAAAACAAAGGTAGTGAATATACAAATCTCATCACTCTCTCTCTCTCTCTCTCTCTCTCTCTGTCTCTCCCCCCCTCTCTCTTTCTCTCTCTGTTGCTAGTATGAGGGTTTGAATTCAGGGCATCTCATTTTGTTCAATGGCATTCTACCACTTGAGCCATATCACCAGCCTGGCTTTTGGCTGCTTATTTCAGAAACAGAGCCTTGCAGACTTTTCTGCTCAGACTAATTTTGAACAACATCCTCTGAATCTCAGCTCCCTAAGTAGCCAAAATTATAGGCATGAGCCACTGCCATTTGTTTTCTAATTCTTTTACTCTTTTACAGCTATCTGTGCTCTGAAGGTGTCTTATATCTGTTATATGTGAATTTTTTCACTTTTTTCCACTTCCACATCACTGTCAACATATTGAGAGCTTGAAGTCAGCCAGGATGAGAGCATTAATCCATGGCATCTGCAGATGCTACAGATTAGCATCTGCCTTCCCATAGGCCCCCAAGGCTACCAATTCTATGAATAAATATGCATTTGTGCAACATTGAGCAAGAAGTTACCAATCATGACCTTGATCTATCTTTGCCTTACCTGCCTTACTTGATCTGTCTTTGTCCTTGGCAGGTGGCTGGCCTCACCTCCTTAGCAAAATTCTATAGCATTAGAATAGGCCCCTTCCTGGGAAGAACACCACTGAGCTCAGCAAGCTCAGAGACGCCCCTGTGAATGATCGCTGAGAGGCACCTGAGACAACTGCTTTGCCACCACGACCCTGTATTTGCCCTTTGTGTGTTTTATACACAGCCCTGCCGTCTTGCTTAGCAGCTAGGACCTGTTCTCAGGAATGTGGGTGGTAGAGGGGGCAGGGGCTGCCCTTGGCAGGGTTGAGAGAGGGCTGTGGCTGAATGCACACGCACATGCGCACACACATTTGTATGAACTCCTTCTCTGCACTCCCAATGCCTTACTGCCTTTTCACAACTTGTCCTGCAATGAACTTGGTAAAACAAAAAGCAGATAACTGTCCTCCACTGAGCATTGCCCCTGGACTGGACAAGATGGTCAGGGCAAGGGTCTGCCAGCCTTACAGATAGAGCAGCTTAGGAGGCCAGGGAGGAGGCAGGAGAAAGGACACTGCCACCTGGAACTGGTATGAGTCTCTCATGGGTTACTCCTATTTGCACGCTCAGTGTTGGCACATACTCATGACTACCTGTGGGTGCACACAACTACATGCTCAACATAGCTCAACACCTGGCTCCTTGTAAACAAGAAGGGCCTCTTGCCTTTCTCTTGGAGCTGGTCTGACATACCATATGGTCTTTGGCTATGGTCTTTATGCAATACCATCACATATGTCTCTTTAAAGTGTGTTTGAGTACTGGGACAAAATCTACTGCCTGAACATTATCACAAGCCAAAGAGTGGGGCTAGGGAGGTGACAAAGTACACATTGCTCCTAATCTATATCAAGTTTCAAAAACATCAGAAATACTGTGTAAAATTGGGTGCTGGAACATGTTTGTGAATCCCAGCATCCAGGAGGATCTTGAGTTTGAGGCCAACCTGGGCTCCATAGTGAAACCTAGGTGCAAGGCCACGATCACTGTTGTTTTCCAGTTTTTCCATGGCAGAGGCCCTGTAGTCACTCTTATACTAGATGGAGATGCTCCCATCAATACCACCAGCTGGCCACACTTATTTGGACAGCAGCTTCCAGATGTTTGAACAAATGCAAAATAAGCCACCATACTACTGCCCTACACAGTTCCAAGAAATGGATGATGGTGGTATTCATGGCACACAAGGTACCCAAAAGACCAAGAAGAGCAATGTATTTTCATGGAGAAGAGCTCTGTGAAAGAACCCAAATGTCCTTACAGCTCCACCACCCATTGGGCATAGAGCTGCCCATAAATAACAGTGGCTAAATAAAGCTCTGGGTGCTAGTGGCTCATGCCCAGAATCCTAGCTACTCAGGTGGCTGAGATCTGCGGATCACAATTCAAAGCCTGTTAAGGGAAGAAAGTCCATGAGACTTATTTCCAATTAACCAGTAAAAAGCCAAAAGTGGAGCTGTGGCTCAAATGGCAGAGTGCTAGCCTTGAGCACAAAAGCTCAGGGACAGTGTCCAGGCCCTGAGCTCAAGCCCCAGGACTGGCACACACAAAAAAGATCCCATTGTCTTTGTTGATGGCTTCTGTGACATACAACATAGTTTTCAGTGTCTAAACCAACTTCCTTCTCATTGTTCTACTACCACCTCTCCACCTGGCCCCTTCTTTTGTTCATACCCACCTGTAGGGGCAGATTGGGAATAAGGCAGGTCACCCCAAAGCCCACGAGCAGCAGGTTAGTAAAGGCAAAGGCGCGCATGGCATTGGTGATCTTTTGGATCTGCCGGTCACGCTTCTTCTTTTTCTCACCTCTGTGGAGACAGAACACACAACCACTGAGGGTTGGGGAGGCTCCCTGGAGGAAGTCAGCCCTCCCAGGAAGTCAGGTTTAGGGGATCCTCACTTATGGACTGATGCAAGACTTACAGGTGACCCAAGAGTATCTTAGTGGCTCTGTTGGGGCTAGACTAGCTACAGGACACTCCCCAGGCCACTTCTGGGTTTTGCACTGAATGTGAAACTCAGTAGAGAGTCTCTGACCCAGAAGGATGGCCCTCAGTACACTACACTGCCCAGGGAAGGGAGCTCAGATGATGGGGAGGGAAGCAGAAGGTTCCCTGGGCTTGGATGCAGCAAAAGCCTCACTTTACAATTGGCTCTGAGTTCACAATTGGTGGCAAGTTGGTAATAAGCCAGCTAATAAGCCGAGAGGTGGGGGGAGGGAATGGATTTCCCCTTGGGGGGGGCAGGAGAGAATAAATATGCAGCAGATGGAGCAGGAATGGGCACAAATAACCCCTTGGCTGTAGGGCCTGACCTAGATAACAGAGTATTCTCTGTAATTATTTCCTTGTGAATTAACTACTACTGATGCCAGTCTCACCATCCATACCGACACCCCATGGACATCCAAGAGGAGAAGCCAAGTACCCAGAGATTCTGGGCAGGGAGTCCAGACCCACTGCTTGCTAACTATGTGACCTCAGGCAGGTGACTCAACCACCTAGCTTCAGTCCCCTCATCTGTAAAATGGGTACTATACCAGTTCACACCTCCCATGGTGTCAGGAGACTGAACTAATGCATTGTGTGCTAAGTGCTTGGCACTGAGCCTAACACAATAAAAAACAGCTTATTATATTAAGGTGGAGTTGTAGAAGACAAGTTTAGCTTATACTCTGATCTTAGAGCCCAGCCCTTCTATAAAGTAGGGCTGCAGCACCTTGTTTAATCCTCACAATCATCAACAAATCCATTAGCGCATCTGGTTGTAGCAGCTTTCTACTAGAACTGAGTGGGATAAACCCTGAGGCATAAACTCTGGCTTTATGATGGCCCCATGCTGCTGCCTTGCCAGGGATCTGAGGCCCTCATGGGGCCCTGGTCTTTCCTCTGGTGTCTCCTCTCCTTTCATCTAGCTCAGTCCCTCCCAAGCTTTAGTGCATCAAAGAAGAGGTGGGAGACACTGAAGAGCCAATGAGTTCTCAAGGACTCGGGAGAGGGTACAGGGCCCACTTCTCTCTCACCCTTCCTTCTGCCTGTAAAACTGAACCTGCCCACCTTGGCCCTGCCAAGGTAGTCTTTCTCAGTGTTCTTTTGTCTGGGGGCTGGGATTGGGCCTACGCACTGGGGGGCGTCTTTCTCCTCAGGCTCCTCAGAGGTATCTTCACATTCCTTTAACCGCCAGTCCATGATGTAACCGATGACAGGGGCCGTCAGCAGGCAGAGCAGCTGGAGCGCACCGAAGATGGAGGTGTAGAGGGCAACTGGGGAAAAAAATACAGTGTGATATGTCACAGAGGCCTGGAGACAGGCTAGGTAAAAGCTGAAGGGGCTGGAGTCTACAGGAGCTCTTCTGGAGTCTTCCCCCAAGCCCCTTGCTCACCACAGGTTTTGAGGGAAGCCCAGAGCCCTTAGCTTCTCAATCAAAACTGATCAAGTGGTAGGTCACCTAATTTTCTGCTCTAAATTCCCATCTATTTCCCAGAAATAGCTAATGAAATCCAGTATGTCACAATGATTCCCCACCAGAAGTTCTAGGAAGTTACTATGACTTGGGAACCACAAAATTACCAATGCCCACAATTGAGGCTTTGTGTGACTAGCCATTATTTTTCTGCCTCTAGAAATATACCAGGAAGGCACCAGTCACAGGAACTTTGACGTAAGAGCATCCATCTTCAAAGAGACTTAAAATTATTGTAGGGAGGGTGTCAGAGAAATAGCTGAAAGTTAATTGCTTTCCCCCTACCCCCCACTAGTTCAGTTGAGAGGGGTGTTCAAGGTAAGACACCTCTGGGTGTTCGTTGAACAGTCTGGCTGGGATGAACCGCTGCTTACCCGTGGCCATCACTGCATTGAGAAAGCAAAGGAAGAAAAGCACAAGGAGAAGTTAGTGGCAGAAATTGAAACAACTATTGCAGGCAGAGCACTCCCTCAGAGTGCTCAGAAGTGGCTAAGCCTATGCCAGGCTCACAGGAAGAATCTGAGAGAGAGAGAGAGAGAGAGAGCTGTCTGCTGGTGCCTCATCATGGGCAGGATGGTGAGTCAGGCCGACAGTGTTGGCCAGTACCGTGATGGGGAAGTGGCGTGCTGGGTACAGAAGGCCTGCCAGAAACTGAGTCCTCCACTACCGTATGACCCTGTGGGAATGCTGCTCTCTCAGTTACTTCCTGCTGCTCTCAGACAGAGAGAGAAAGGTGCAAGAATCTGCCATGCCATCTGATACCCCTACCTTCTTCTTGATCCAGCAGCAGCCATTCTAGGCAGAGCCAGACCAAACTTCCTGCCCCAATTTCCTCTACTTCTTGAAACTGATTTTAAAAAATTAAAAAATGTCAGAGACTTGCTATGTAGCCCAGGCTGGCCTCAAACTTATAATCTTATTTCAGCTTCCCACATAAGCTAGGATTACATAGCTAGTGCTATGGTGTCCAGTTCAAAACTAGTGTGTGTGTGTGTGTGTGTGTGTGTGTGTGTGTGTGTGTGTGTGTGTGTGTGGCTGGTACTGGGGGCTTGAACTCCAGGCCTTGTGCTCTTGCCTAGCTTTTTCATTTGTTTGTTTACAAATTTTGTGCAAAGTTATGCACGTTGCACATTGGATTCTCCATTTGTCCAATATTATCCCATTCCCTGGGATGTCTGTTTCTTTTGTGAAAGTAGAACTTCTCATTCTTGTTCCAAACTGATATTTGCTTCGTTACAAAGCATCATCTCCTCGGTACAAGCAAGTAAACCAACAAAGGAAAGCTACACGCCAATGAGCCTGCCAACAAAGAGGACTAGCCGACTGCTGGTCCCACTGCTACAGAGTGACTAATGCTGACTCAGCTGGCCCAGGAAAGCACAGGGGAGCAAAGGCTCTCCCCAGCTGAAGACCTTCCGCTGCTGTTTTCCTGCTGGTTATCAGTCCTGTTTACCGGAGCTAACAAGCCTCGACTAGATTACTTGTTCCTGGGAAGCCTATGTTTCCCTGTTTCCCAGTATAGGACACAGATCCCAGTGTGGACCTAACTGCTGTGCCCACTGGACACACATCCTCCCCCTGGGATCCCAGGTCTCCAGGTGCCATGCTTGCGGTCTTCAGGAATCCAGGTGGGGCTGGACATGCCATCAGCAGCCCCAGGTGTAGGCCTGAGCTCTACACACACACACACACACACACACACACACGAGGCCTCCCCCACCCACCAGTACTGGAAACAGATACCCCACACCCTAAACACAAGGAGCTATTTTAGTTCTTCCCTCCCTCCCTCAGCCAGGAAACTCTGACAGGGACACAAGAGAACTGTCAGGCTGGCAGTGACGAAACAGCTGAGCTCGGATGAGCGAACAGGCCCCGCTGATCCAGCTCAGCCTCACACCTTGCAGCTGGGGTGGCCAGTGGGAATGACCAAGGACTCTCGAGGTACTCTTCCCTGGGGCCCAGGGAACACCTACCTGTCTTCTGGTCACCACTGACCAGGAACTCAAGGATGCTGTTCATGGCTCCCATGTAGAAGATGAGCCGCAGCTGTGTGACACACATGGTGACCAGGCTGAGCAGCAAGATGGGGCTGAACACGCTGTGCATGAAGGAGGGGGCGGCTGTGGGAAGAAGGTGGGGGCTCAGGGCTGGGAACACGGGCCCACCTACCATGTGGGGGCTGAGTGCCAGGGAGGGGGAGACCCAATGTGCTGACCTCGTGCTGGACATAAGGAGGGGACGTGAGAAGAGGGCCCTGCCCTGGGAGAGTCACGGAGCAGACCCTGAATTGAATAGTGCGCCCCCCCCCCACTTCTCTGTTAATGAGTTCTCTTATAAAACAAGGCTGGTGGTGTCATCACCCCTTTGGGGATGAAGTGGGAATTCAGTGAGACAATACCCACCCAATGTGAAGCCACTGCTGCCTGCCCCCTCCCCCCAGGTCATAGGTGTGGGGGGCAGGAAGATGCCCCTACGGCATCTCAGACTGACTAGGCGGTGAGGGCTATGTGGTGGGTACCTGCGGCATCTGGCTGGCACTTCACTTCCAGGTCTACAGTGGACAGGCACAGCTTGTGGCCCTCTTGCAGCGCGGCTTGCTCCTTGGCGCTCCGCATGGAGCTGCCCACGCTCAGGCGGCGGCCGACCGTGGTCACCTGCTTGTAGAACTGCTTCCCTGTGATCTTGTGGTCAAAGCCCAGCCAGCTGAACTTGATCTTCACCCTGGAGGCCACAGAAGGGTGTCTGTTGGTGCGGCCCAGGACCCTGGCTGGCATGAGGGTGGGGTGAAGAAGCACATGCCAACTTACGAGTAGTCCATGTCCTCTGGCCCCGGGAAGGGCTCCAGGGGCCAGTTAAAGAAGCAGTTGAGGAAAACCAGCCCGGAGCAGCCGGCCCAGACCACCAGGATGATGATGAAGGAGGCACCAGAATCATAGATGAGCTGATGGGCACAATGGGGTAGAGGTGGGGACAAGGCGTGCAGAGTTAGCAGGAGGAAGCCAGAGTAGGAAAGCAGGCAGGGGGCACCTGGCTGCCCTTTGCCATCGTGAGCTTTGTGAGGAGGTACACCCTTGTCAGCCCACCTGTTAGGTCATCAGAGACCCTTAGATCTAGCCAGGCACTGGTGGCTCACGCCTGTAATCCTAGCTCCTCAGGAGGCTGAGATCTGAGGATCACGGTTCAAAGCCAACCCTGGCAGGCAAGTCTGTGAGACTCTTATCTCCAATAAACCACCAGAAAACCTAAGTGGCACTGTGGCTCAAGTGGTAGAGCGCTTGCCTTGAGCTGAAGAGCTGAGTGACAGTGCCCAGGCCCAGAGTTCAAGTCCCACGACTGATAAAAAAAAAAGAAAAACCCTTGGATCCAAAAATCTCAACTTGTCTGCCTTGTGCATGCAATCTGAACCAAAATATCACTGTGTTGGCCAGGCCGCGGACAACCACCCTGTCACTGTCACACCTCTCTCAAGGCTGACAGTGAATAGCACTGGCTGCCTTTTGAGCCCTTTACTTGTCTGCTATCAGCCTAGCTCCCTGGAGACAGGACCTTGCCAGCCTCATCCACTGGTGTTTCTCTTAAAGAGTACACGTGGCAGGTACCCCTCCATATTCAAGGGATGTGCCTCTGTGGAACCATGTGATCCCTAGTAGTGGGAGAGCTGAGTACTCAGCCTAGAAGGTGAGCAGCCTGTTGAGCATGCCAGCAGTTATTGTCATGAGAACCAACATGAAGGTCCCCAAAGTGCTGGAAGCACAGGAAGGAGCCTGGCTTTTGGCCACTCGACAGAACAGGGATATGTTCTCCACCATTTGAGGGCAAGAGAAAGTCCACAGGACACCTGACTGGATCCCTCCCCATACCACTCTGATTCCAGATGTCTGGCCTACGCTGTTCATCACCACAGCACTTCCTGAATGTCTAAGTATGGCTTCAACTTGGCACTGGTGCCAGCCCCGGCCAGAGCTCTGGCACAGCTGTAGGACTGGCAGTGGACATGAAGCAGTGGCTTTATCCTGACCTCCACAGGCTCAGAATCCTGCCTGGGAGGGAAACAGCTGAACCAACTTGGCCGAGTGCAGCACTTTGGCTAATGGGGAAAAACAGCCCAATAACAACAGGGTGGGGGAGGGGGACTTGGGTCATATACTACAATGACTTACTCATATCACCCGTCCCTGATAGCCCTATGGTTTTCTTCTCTTACTTCTGTGGTAACAGGTGCATCCTACCCGGGTGTGGAGGGGCCATCCCTAGCACCCACAATACACTCCTTCTCTCTCTCCTTCCTCTCCTCTCCCCCCCTCCTCTCCCCAGAGAGGGAGGCATGGCCTTTGGGAGGCCTCAGCCAAGATGCCAGGATAAGCAAATGGCTACACTCTCACCTTGATTCCTGGAAAGGTGACTGCTGAGGAGGCATAGGATCCAATCATCAAGGCAATAAACGTGGACCGAAGGTCACCAAACATGTTAGGCAGCTAAGGGGAATAATGGGAGGAAAGGTTTAGAAAGAGGGAGAAGAAAGCCGGGCGCTGGTGGCTCACACCTGTAATCCTAGCTACTCAGGAGGCTGAGATCTGAGGATCACAGTTCAAAGCCAGCCCAGGCAGGAAAGTCTGTGAGACTCTTATCTCCAATAAACCACCAAAAAACTGGAAGTGGCGCTATGGCTCAAGTGGTGGAGTGCTCACCTTGAGCTGAAGAGCTGAGGGACAAAGCTAGGCCCAGAGTTCAAGCCCCACAACCAAAAAAAAAAAAAAAAAAAGACAAGAAAAGAAAAGAAAGAAAGAAAGAAAGAGGGAGAAGAGAAAGTGTCCAGGCAGCAGGTTGTACCTACTGTCTGTCCCTTCAGATAAGCCACAGGGTAAACTCAGGGTAATTACTGCTAATTGTAAGCTTTCCCTTCCTGGACAGAGGCAGATGAGAGAAAGGAAGGAGAGCAAAGGAGAAATCCAACTCCAGGTGAAAGGAGATGGTGGTTTGATTTTCTGACTGGGATCACCTCCATCTCCCAGCCTTACTTCTGACATAGACAAAGGGTCTGCCCTACACCAAGAGTTCAGACAGCAGAGCCATAAGCCTCAGGCACTCTTCAAAGAGAGAAAGCCCACTGAAAATAAGAATCTATTTAGGGATAAGAGCGTCATTTTTATAAATAAAAATATCAGAGTCCCAGAAGGAGCAGATGTCAGCAAAAGCTGCTTTCAGTTTTGAGAGTAGGTTTCTAGAAGGTGCTGATAAGAATTGTCAGTTCCCTCACAGCTGACAATAGAGCTGGTCTGTTACTGTTTTTTTTTAAAAAATATTTAATTGTTTATTGTAATTATAAAGGTGATGTACAGAGGAGTTATAGTTATCTAATGTAACGAGTACATTTGTTTTGGGGACAATGTCACCCCTTCCCTTACTCTCTGTTTTCCCCTCCCATCCCTATGTACAAGTGGTATAGTTAATTTTCAACATAGTGTCTAGTGAATACACTAAGGTATTTGTCACCCTTTGTCCTTGTGCTTTTAAATTTCTAAGTGCCAGTAGGGGATTCTCTCCTAGTTATCGATTGGCACCTGACAGGGCCAAGATCAGGAAGGTTCAGGCTCTGTTCCAAACACAGCTACTCTGGCTCACAGCCTCTTACCTTAGGTAAGAGGAAAGAATACCTGTTGAAAATGACTTCATAGCAAAACCTTTAATGATGCTGCAGAAATCCAGGCATGGTAAGATAATACAACAGTGTTGTAGACTTCGATAGATCTGGGGGAAAGCACATCCTCCCAACCAGCTATCTTTTCCCAAGCCCAAGAGAGACCATGAATGCTATAGCATGTTCCTCTGTACACTTGGGAGTCCCTGGTGTTAAGGATGCTCTTAGAGTGATGTCAACCTATTTCATTGAATTCAGGTTTACACATATGGTGTATGCTTCCCTCCCTCATTTGTCCTGATTTTTTTTTTGTTTGGTAGTACTGGGATTTGAACTCAGGACCTCATATTCTTTTTTTTTTTTTTTTTTGTCGGTCATGGGGCTTGAACTCTGGGCCTGGGCACTGTCCCTCAGCTCTTCAGATGTAGACTAGCACTCTACCACTTGAGCCTCAGCCCCACTTCTGGATTTTTCTGTTTATGTGGTGCTGAGGAATTGAACTGACGGCCTCATGCATGCAAGGCAAGCACTCTACCACTGAGCCACTTCCCAGCTCCAGGACCTCATATTCTCACTGGGTTTTCTTGCTCTTGGCTGGCATTCTATCAATTCAGTGACATCTCCAGTCCAGCAATGCCTCCAATCTGGCATTGCTGGTTAGTTTTCTGCCTGGACTGGCTTGGAACTGCAATCCTCCAAGTCTTAAGCTCCTGAATAGCTAGTACTATAGACATGAGCCATTGGCATCCAGTTGAATCATTTTTTTTTAAATACTGATTTTTTAAATTTTATTAATTAATATTTAATTATTGGTTTTCTTTATTTGTAGCATTGTTTTACTTGTTGAAATATAGTACAACTTTTTTTTTGGGGGGGGGGTGGAATCCAGTCATGGGGCCTGAACTCTGGGCCTGGGCCCTGTCCCTCAGCTTTTCAGCTCAAGGCTAGCGCTCTGCCACTTGAGCCACAGCGCCACTTCCAGTTTTTTTCTTTTTTGCTTATGTGGTGCTGAGGAATCGAACCCAGGGCCTCATGCATGCAAGGCAAGCGCTCTACCACTGAGCCACCTTCCCAGCCCCAGTTGAATCATTTTTGTATTTTACCAAACATAGCTATAACTGGGTATAGTGGCACACACCTGCAATTCCAGCAATCAGAAGCTGAGGTAGGATGATCTTGAGTTCAAATCCAGTTTGAACTATAAGAGGAGTTCTAGGTCAATCTGGGCTACTTAGGGAGACTCTGTTTCACAAACAACAAATGTCTGTGGCCACTGTAAGACAAACTTACTGCACTAAATGGAGGTAGTTTTAACTGTCTGTGTATCTACCCCTCATCATTGCTGCCTGTCATTCCCACATTTATAAATACATACTGGACATTAAAAACCTCTGTGACCCAAACAGCACCATCAAGAAGGTGGAAAGAAGTTCAATGTCATTTATCCTGGAGAAATGCAAATCAAAACCACATAAGATACTACGATACTTGAAACCAATGAAGGTGGTCATAATTGGAAAGGATGCTGGTGAAATGATAGAGGGCTTAGAACTCTTACACTACCAGTGGGAATGGAAATGGTAGCCTTTTGGAAAACAGTCTGCCAGTCTCCAGACAATTAAGCACAGTATCCATACAGAGAAACCCAGATATGTCCACATAAAAACCTGTACGTGAGCCAGGCACTGGTGGCTCACACCTGTAATCCTAGCTACTCAGGAGGCTGAGATCTGAGGATCATGGTTCAAAGCCAGCCCGGGCAGGAAGCTCCGTGAGACTCTTACCTCCAATAAACCACTAAAAAACTGGAAGTGGTGCTGTGGCTCAAGTGGTAGAGCGCTCACCTTGAGCTGAAAAGCGCACAGGCAGTGCCCAAGCCCAGAGTTCAAGCCCCACGACCAACCAAAACAACAACAACAACAACAACAAACTTGTTCATGAAATGGCTCATGCCTGAAATCCTAGCTACTCAGGAGGCTGAGACAGGAGAATTTTAGTTCAAAGCTATCCCAGCAAAGAAAAGCCCAGGAGACTCTTCAATTAGCTGCCAAAAGCTAGAAGTAGAGTTACAGATCAAGTGGTAGAGCACTAGCCTTGAGCAAAAAAAGCTCAGGGACAGTGCCCAGGCCCTGAGTTCAAGCCCTAGGACTGGTGTGCATACATGCTACCACTTGAGCAACAGTGCTACTTATGGCTTTTTCTGAGTAGTTTATTGAACTTAAGAGTCTCACAGAGTTTCCTACCCAGGTTGGCTTTGAACTTCAATCCTCAGATCTTAGCCTACTGAGGAACTAGGATTACAGGTGTGAGCCATTGGGCTGGGCAATATATGCTAATTAAAATTTTAAATTATTTTCTATAGAGTGGGCTACATTGTTCTTGACTTCTCAGAAAGGGTAAGAGGGGGAAGGAAAGAAAGATGCAAGAGACAAAGGAAATGCGATAGGTTCACTGGGGCCCCAATTGAACTTTTGGTACACCTGCCTCACAAGTAGCCACCTCCTACCTGTGAGTTCAAGGACATGCTCAATTCTGCAGCTCACATACATGGGCAGCCACATGCTGTTTATGCCAGCATAGAATCCTTAGAAAGAAGGCATATCTAGGACTATATCCACCTTGGAAATCCAAAGGTTAGGTCTGCATAGGTGGAAAGAAGGAAATGTTCCCACCTGGCATTGCACTCCAGCCAGGACAAGTGAAGAGAGGAAAGGATAAAAGAGATTAAAGAAAGCTTAGCCTGGCGCTGGTGGCTCACGCCTGTAATCCTAGCTACTCAGGAGGCTGAGATCTGAAGATCGTGGTTCAAAGCCAGCCCAGGCAGGAGAGGCCATGAGACTCCTATCTCCAATAAACCACCAGAAAACCAGAAGTGGCGCTGTAGCTCAAGTGGTAGAGCGCTCACCTTGAGCTGAAGAGCTGAGGGACAGCGCCCAGGCCCAGAGTTCAAGCCCCACGACCGACAAATAAAAATAAAGAAAGCTTAGAATCCAACCAGACTAGCAGATGGAGGCCAAGAGCCTGGCCTTCTTGGTGCAGATCAAGCCAGAGAAACATTTTTTGTTTTTGAAAATGAACCTATTGGAGGATTGGGAATGTGGCTTAGTGGTAGAGCGCTTGCCTTGCATGCACGAAGCCCTGGGTTGGATTCTTCTGTACCACATGAACAGAAAAAGCCAGAAGTGGTGTCGTGATTCAAGTGGTAGAGTGCTAGCCTTGAGTAAAAGAAGCTCAGGGATAGCGCCTAGGCCCTGAGTTCAAGACCCAGGACTGGCAGAAAGAAAGAAAGAAAGAAAGAAAGAAAGAAAGAAAGAAAGAAAGAAAGAAAGAAAGAAAGAAAGAAAGAAAGAAAGAAAGAAAGAAAGAAAGAAAGAAAGAAAGAAAGAAAGAAAGAAAGAAAGAAAGAAAGAAAGGAAGAAAGAAGATGAACCTATTGGCACACAGATTAAGGAGAATTCCCCAAAGAAAACTCATCTGAGGAAGGAAGGCATGAGCCACTGGAGCACCAGCAAGGAAAGAAATTTTCAATAGAGCTAGAAAATAGTCCAGTAAAGCAGATACTATATGGCCATTTTCTTTCTGAGACAGGAGAATTACAAATTCAAGGCCGTCTTTGAATGGCTAGAGGCCAACAGAATCAAGCTTGAGGCAAGTACACAGGCCTGCTCTCATCTGAAGTCTTCGGGCTCTAGACTCAGGACAAGCAATACCAGGCTGATTTTTCACCTGTCCATGAACAAGCAGAGGCTTTCTAGTTGTTCCTCCTGCTGGCCAGCTTCTTCCCGTCTATAACATTCTTATCAACATCAAAAAAAATTCTTCTCCCCAACAAGCTAT